ATTTAGGAAGATAATAAGTAATAGAACGTGGGTTCTGGTATAAACTCGTCCACAGAGCAGGAGTCTGTCGGAGGAGGAGCAGTCTCAGGCTCAGACAGAGGCAGATCCCCAGGGTCTAGGAGTGGCCCGTGTGCCCTGGCGCAGCCCCTCAGCCTCATGGCTGGGTGGCTTCCAGCTGCAAGTGTGGCTAATCTGCAGTTCCTCGCAGTCGCAATGGGAGATTTCACAGCTAGGACTGAGCACATTGCCCCTAAGACTTGATAAACGGCCTAAGGAAGTTTTTCTGTAGAATTCCCCAAAGTTCAGAGTCTGAACTTGTGAGTTTCGAGGTCAGTTTGAGGAATGGGTTTGTCTGTTTATGCCCTTTTCCTTCCTCTGAACTTTTCTTTTTTAGAGATCACAGCAGATGAAGGGACAGGGGAAAACAGTGTCGTTGGTGGTAAGAGATACAACAAATGACAGGGGCAGTGAAAATTTATGTTGTTGGGGATAAAACTGTTTTCTAGGAAGGACAAATTTTTCAAATCTGATCAGATAAGCAAAAGATTTCTTAACAGGGCTCCTTATTTATAGAATACAAAATAAATTCAGTATATGGGGAGCTTCACTTAAAAGAAATCAGAGGTCAAACTCAACCAGAAACCTATGTGGTCAGAGAAAGAGCAGCGCCCTGTCCCTGCAGGAGGCCTGAGGTCTGGGAGTGCTCTTGCTCTCTAAGCTGAGGTCGTAGGTCACAGCCGGGAGAAGCTCTCGACTGGAACTTTACAGGTTCCCAACATCGTCAGGTGCGGGCGAGTCCATGGCTGCTGCCGCATGACGGGAAGGAGCAGGGGTGCGCAGGGCCAGCTCCGTCTCCGTCTCCTGGGAAGGTGGATTTTGTGCATCTTTCTGTCCCACATTCCATGTTCAGTGGAGCCACATTGGTAGCTTGAAGTAAGTCGTGTCAGGACTGTTTATACAACAGACTCATCAAATTCTACAAATCAGGTACTTTTCCCCAGGACAGCTAGTTTAGTAACATCTTGGGGTAGGATGGCAACATTGGGATATTTTTGTGATTTGGGAATTTATTTTCATATTGGGGTTGATTGGAATTGGGTAAGGATCGTAATATGAAAGTTTAGAAGTGGGGGACATGCCAATGAGAGGATTTGGAAATATCTTGGGTGGATTAAACAGCTGTTCTCAGTCCACTGGCAGCCAAAAGATCTGATGTTCATTAAGTGAGGTTTTTGGTAAGTTCCTGAGACAAAATTACTTTCAACTTTCTGAGCAAGAGTTTCCTGGTCTAAGAAAGTCATGTTGACGAAGACAGTGGGAAAGTAAAATCATATTAACATCTACAGTGAGCTATATGCGGGTAGATGGTTTTGTTTCTCACATGAAATGCCTATGTCTTCAAGGTGTATAAGAATTGAAGATTGGGACCAAGGAATTGTAACAGTAAGTAAAGCTCACAGGAAATGGTCCCTTGAAGTCATTCATTGTCAGCATTCATCAAAGGAAAATTCTGACCGTCTATCCTAATGGCATATGTCTTTTTTGACAAAATATTTAAACAGATTTTAATGCTGTTACATTATGTAAGAATTTATATTA